GCGGTTTGGCTCCTGCATAAATCAGTGTGCTCTGGAGCCCTCCTTCCTTCCTGGGCTAAGGGGAAAACGTGTGAGGCTGGAAAACTGTGAGCTAGCTCACCATTTTTTAGCCTCCGGCTCACACATTTTTGTCTTCACTCTGGAAGGATGGCTCCAGAGCAAACTCATTTATAGTCAAATTGCTCGCTCACAACTTGAATGCCAGTAGCTCACAAAGTAGAATTTTTGCTCACAAGATTCCACAGCTTAGAGGGAACATTGGTTCTCACATCCCTTTTGCAAAGATACTTACAGAAGCAGCCGTCCACACCTCCAGGGGATGGGCTTTCCAACTGATGGAGCAACAACTGATGGTGTCCATGGCTAGGCTGGGGGGGGGGGGGTGGGAAAGATTTTGCAGGAATGGATGAGAAGAGCACTGTTGGAGCAGGCGCTTGTATCCGTAGAGGTGGCCCTTCAGATGACAATTGAAACGCTCAAATTAGGGGAGGGGCCGTGGCTCAGTGGTAGAGCATCTGTTTAATACGCAGAAGGTCCCAGGTTCGATCCGTGGCGGCATCTCTAGTTAAGGATCATGTTAAACACTGGGCTCCATGCATGGTCTGACCCCAAGCTTAGCGATCAGCTCTGCTTCATTAGTGATTCAGCCAGAACAATGCAAAGACCCAGGGCACCAGCCCTGTTTAAATAGCATGCAAACACCACCCACTCCCCAAACAAGGACTAACGATGGGCTATTGTCAGACCCATCTATATATCGCATTCCCAACATGCCCCCTCCGCGTAGATATCTAAATCAGCACATCGGGGGCACTTGGGGGGCAGGGAGGTCTTCCTACACATTTGCGGCAACCCCCATATGTGCAGAAAAATCTGAAAACTTGGAAAAAATATGGGGGGGATATTTAAATCCCCCCAAAAGTAAAAGAGATTTCCCTGCGCAGGCTGCTGTAAGCCGCTCAGCCCTCGCCACCACCCTGGGGGGGAGGGAGAAAGTTTGGCGGGCCGAGCTCAGGCCTCCTGCTGCCGCTGGGGGGGAGGGGGGAGAAAGTTCGGCAGGCCGAGTTCAGGCCTCCCGCCACCAGTGCTGGGGGGGGGGAGGAGGAAGGAGAAGGCTTGGAGAGAAGGCTTGGAGAGGCGCAGGCCTCACTGTGGGTGCCTGGGATGGGGGGCAGGGGAGAAGGCTCTCCTGCGGCTGCTTCCTTCTCCTCCCGTGGAGCTTCTCCTCCCCCCACCCCCAAGAGTATCGCGGGTCTCCCTTCTTGTAACTTCCTATTGGCCACCTCCAGAGTCCCGGTGGGCTATTGTTCTAGAGCTCCAAGCTCAGCCTGTCTCTGGTAAAAACAGTCCTGGAATGTTCCAGTCCTCATACATAACAGATCAGGTAGGAGGTGATGTGAAAGACCTCTGCCTGAGACCCTGGAGAGCCGCTGCCAGTCAGAGTAGACAGTTCTGACCTTAAGTATCATAGAATCATCAAGCTGGAAGGGACCTCCAGGGTCACCTAGTCTAACCCCCTGCACAATGCAGGAAATTCACAAATAACTCTCCCGACAACCCCAGTAACCCCCAGTAACTGGAAAGCCCCTGCCAGTCTGAGTAGACAATACTGGTCTTGGTGGACTCAGAGTGTCATTCAGTAGAAGGCAACTTCAGGTGTTCAAATTGCTCATTACCCCCTAAAAGCCCAGTTTTCAGGGGAGGGACCATAGTGCAGTGGTAGAGCATCTGCTTTGCATGGAGAAGATTGCAGGTTTAATCCCCTGCGCCTCCAGATAAAAGATTCAGGTAATATGGCAATGTGAACCTTTAGCTGAGACCCCAGAGAGTTGTGGCCAATGTTCCCTATAAGCTGTGGAGTCCTGTGAGCAAAAATTCTACTTTGTGAGCCAGTGGCATTAAAGTTGTGAGTGAGTGATTTGGCTACTGCATGAATTAGTTAGCTCTGGAGCCCTCCCTCTTGAGCTGAGATAAAAACTTGTGAGCTGGAGACTAAAAAACTGTGAGCAAGCTCACATTTACTCAGCTTAGACCCCTCTGCTATTCTTGAGGGGAGATATAAGCAAATTCCTTATTCAGTCAGGTTCTGTGGATGTCATAGAAGAGAAATAGAAACTGTTGAGCACATACTCTTACACTGTAAATTGTTAAATGACATTCGAGTGGAATTTATAGAAGCCCCCCTTAGGTTGGTAGCAGGCCAATCAGATAGAATCAATGTACAATTTCTCCTTGCTTCACGAGATCCGGAGATCATTGAACTGACCGCTAAGTTTCTCCATGGTTTTATAAAACGGAAGAGTGACCCTGACCATATTAATGATTCTTAATTTATAAGTCTAAAAACTTAAGTTTAAAAGTTTAGAATGCCAGCTTATTTTATGATTCAGGCATCTTTTGTATGGTCAAATCTAGCTTGTGACAACTTGAGTTAGGCCTGACATAGCCACGACTATCTATTTTATAATTTCTTTTGGATTGTATTATTGGTAAATGCTTCTAATATTGTATGCCAATAAAAGGTACTTGAATTGAATTGAATTGAACTCAGCTTAGAGGGAACACTGGTTGTGGCCAGTCAGAGAAGACAATATTGACCTTGATAAACCTGTGGTCTGATTCAGCGAAAGGCGGTTCTATGTGTGCAGTACAGAGCTGCCAACCTCCAGGTGGGCTCGGAAATTTCTAGAAGTACAGCTAATCTCCAGGTGACAGAGATCGGTCCCTTAGAGAAAGTGGCTGCTTTAGAAGATGGACTTTATGGTACGATACTCTGCTGATGTCCCTCCCCCTGTCAAAACCCCACCCTTCTCAGCCTCTGCCCCCAAATCTCCAGTTTGTGGCGGGGTCCGTGAAGAGCAGAAAGCAGAGGTTTAAAGCCCTGATTTCTGCTCTCCTTGAAAAACAGCTGTTTGGTTTTAAGTTCGGCTGTTTGGTTTAAATAGTTGGGAACCATTTAAACCCCTGCTTTCTGCTCCCTGCGAAAAGCCGTGGGGAGCAGAAAGCAGGGGTTTAAATGGTCCTGAGCCGGGGGCTGCCCGCCCAAGGAAGCCCCTTTAAAGAGCTAAGCTGCAGGAACAGACTGTCTCAGTGGCTCAGGTTTTTAGACTGGAAACAGATGAGCTGCAGAGGCAGCACAAAACAAAAGGCAGCCTGCTCCCGGGGCTCAGCTGTTCCAGGCAGGAACTTCACGAACCCTGTTCGGCTTGCACACAAGCCGACTGGGTTCATGGTTCAGTTTGTGGTTCACCCCACTAAACCACAAACTGAACCAAACTTTTGTGGTTCATGACCATCCCTACTTCTAACAGCTTAAAGGTTATATTTTTTCAATGAGCCAATTATTTCGATTTTTTGTCATCTGGAATAGTCTTAGAATTTTGAATTGCTGTTAATTTGACTGCTGATGACAATGGTTGCCTCTTACTGTTGTCTGTGTTTTTCCCTCCATATGTCCTGTCCGGGTTGCCTTCCTCGCTGCTCCTCACTGAGTTGTTGTTCCCAGTTCCCACTCCTGGCACCGCCGAACAGCTCCCCAGCCAAGTCTACCTATCAGTTCTCGTGGTGGGATTTGCACACAATAAACCAAACCATTTTAAAACAAATTAAGGTTTATTAAATTACTAAAATATAGCAGCTCTTCAGTACAAGTCTCATCAGGCTAATAAACAAGGAAATAAGAAAGTTGTCTTTTCTAACTAAGACATTTCTTACTGGTGTTACAGTCACTTGCAGAAGGAAGAAGAAGATTGGATTTATACCCCACCCTTCACTACCCAAAGGAGTCTCAGAGCGGCTTACAAACTCCTTTCCCTTCCCCTCCCCACAACAGACACCCTGTGAGGTAGGTGGGGCTGAGAGAGCTCTTTTCAGAACTGTCCTTGAGAGAACAGCTCTGACAGAACTATGGCCTGCCCAAGGTCATCCAGCAGGTGCAAGTGGAGGAGTGGGGAATCAAACCTGGTTCTCCCAGGTTAGAGTCATTCTACCTGTCACAGCCAGTCATAATGAAGTATACCCTAACCCTACATAGCGTAAAATAGCATCATCCTTCACTAACCTATAGCTCTCAGTTATACCTCTTTGCCCTCTAGCATCAGGTGGTCTCTTTCATCCAATCAAAGATCTTCTCAGGAACCTTCCAGAAGATGCTCACTTCTGTTCCTCATTTCCTCCTCCCATGGTGTTATACAGTCAAGCCAGGGTTCCTATGATGTACCCAATTATGACATTCCTCTGTCTGGCCTGGAGGAGATAACACAGGTGGTAGCGAGAGCGCTGAGGTCACTGACATCTGTAAGCTCCACTAGGCCCTGAAATATTCCCATTAACCATTGTGAGTCAATTAGGGCGCTTAGCATCACATATCCTTAACTGAAATAAAAACTGCTGAAGATGAACAATTGCCTCATGGTTTCACTTAGAGAGCCTTGTGAACTCCTTTTCACAGTCAAGGGCACAAGATCTTGTTTTTAGAGTTTGTTGTGTTACGTGAGGACGAGGAAGAAGAGGAGGAAGAGGAGGAGGAGGAGGAGGAAAAGGAGGAAGAGGAGGAAGAAGAGGAAGAAGAGGAAGAAGAGGAAGAGGAGGAGGAGGAAAAGGAGGAGGAAGAGGAGGAAGAGGAGGAAGAAGAGGAGGAGGAGGAGGAGGAAAAGGAGGAGGAAGAGGAAGAAGAGGAAGAAGAAGAAATTGGAGAGCGGAGTCTCAGAGGGGCTCACAAACTCCTTTCCCTTCCCCTGGGTGGGGCTGAGAGAGCTCTGACAGGAACTGCTCCTTTTCAAGGACAGCTCTTATCAGAACTATGGCTTGCCCAAGGTCATCCAGCAGCTGCAAGTGGATGCTTGGGGAATCAAACCCGGTTCTCCCAGATTGGAGTCCGCGCACTTAACCACAACACCAAAGCTACACGGTAACCCACCTGAATTTACCGGAGGTGGGCATTCATATCTCCAGCATTGTCGCACAAGTCTTTTCGCTGCAGTAATGCCACAGAGAGTCCATTTTCACTGACCATCGGCTAGCCTCCAAGAGACGGGCGGGTATTTTCAAAGTACGTAAGCACTTAAGACGAATGTCTTTGGCAGCCCCTCCGTGTACCTTGGTGCCGATTCGGATCGCAGTTTTTAAAAGTAGTTAATAAATAAAAAAAAACTCCCCACAGAATTCCGCAGAGCCCGTAGCTGGAATCTCAGAGGGCCGGGCTGCTGACATCCGAGAGCTTTTCTTTTCTTTTCTTAAAGTCTGCAGGAAAAAAATTGTTGAAATGCTTGGCAGCTGCCAGCGATTGCAGAAATGTCTCAATCATAAATGAGGCGAAAAGTACAAAGCCCGCAAAACATGCTGTGGGGGGGGGGACGGCGAGCAATGAGGTAGGAAACGAAACACCAAGGGCTGCGAGGGAGAAGAAAAGGAGTCTCACAGCCCAACAGAGAGTCTTCTGTTACCAGCTGCAAAGCATTCCCCAGTGCCAAGACAAAGCAGAAAACATATGAGCCGGGTCTACAAATGCATAATATCTTAGAGATGTGAGTAAGAGAAGTACGAGTGTACGTCACTGAGTC